ACACCACAGAAGGAAAACCCCTTACTGTAAAGAATTATTAGAATCCTGGCACAACAAGGCTTTTGTTGTTGTTGCTGTTGTTTTGGGGCTTAACGCCATTTTTCAATACACAATACATGGCGGCAAGTATTTATGGTGGAGGAAGAAACCGGGAAATCCGCGGATAGAACCACAGACCCACGAGAAGCTACTGGCAATCTTTCTCACCTATCCACATTTGCCGAAACTTAGACTCGAACACACGCAGACAGGAGAGATGGCAGTGAACCGTAACGAAGATCGATTTAGACCAGCTAGTGCTGCACATATTCCATGTATTATAGGAGTATTGCTGTACTGAACCATTTCAATATGGATACATAACTTTACTGAGATTATCACTGAACTTGGCCATGTTTATATGGATATGTAACTTTATTGGGGGTGGGTATTGCTGTACTAAGCCATGTCAATATGGATACATAACTTTACTGAGATTATCACTGAACTGGGCCAAGAAAATATGGAGATATAACTTTATTGGGGTTATTGTTGTACTGAACTGTATTAAGATTATCACTAAACTGAACCATGACAATATGGATATGTAACTTTATGGGATAAGTCTTACTGTAATGAACCATATCAATATGTATACATAACTTTACTGAGATTATCACTCAACTGAACCATGTCAATACAGATACATAACTTTACTGAGATTATCACTCAACTGAACCATATCAATATGGATACATAACTTTACTGAGATTATCACTCAACTGAACCATGACCATATGGATACATAACTTTAATGGGATTATCATTGTACTGAACTATGTCAATATTGATACATAATTGTAGAGCTGTACTGAACTATGGCAATATGGATAAATAATGTTATTGGGGGTATTGTTGTACTGATCCATGTCAATATGGATACATGACTGTATTAAGATTATCACTGAACTGAACCATGACAACATGGATACATAATATTGAGATTATAACTGAACTAAAATAATGCAATATGGATACATTCTGTTATTGGAGGTATTGCTGTAATGAACCATGTCAATATAAATATATCACTGTACTGAACCATGTCAATATAAATATATCGCTGTACTGTACCATGTCAATATAAATATATTGCTGTACTGAACCATGTCAATATAAATATATCGCTGTACTGTACCATGTCAATATAAATATATTGCTGTACTGAACCATGTCAATATAAATATATAGCTGTACTGTACCATGTCAATATAAATATATCACTGTACTGAACCATGTCAATATAAATATATAGCTGTACTAAACCATGTCAATATAAATATATAGCTGTACTGAACCATGTCAATATAAATATATCCCTGTACTAAACCATGTAATTATAAACATATTGCATCTTAAAATCTCTGGAGCTATGACATTCATTTAAATCCTCATATTATAGATAGATTGCTCTTTAAATGCCTTACCTTATTTCCATTACTTAACTTTGCTGGACATAGTCCATTGCTGTAAATGTGTCTATATATTTGTACTTAAGATATCTATGATTTTATGTGTTTAAAATACTTTTGTAATTTAATTTAGATGTACATGTATGGGCTATATATTCTGAAAGAAAGAATCCTTATAATTTTACCAGAGTAGCGCTGTACAGAATCATACAAATATGGATATATAACTGTTTACCTACATTATTACCCACATTTTTACAGATCAAATCTATAAAACCTTAGGCAATATTGTGGATGTCATGTTGTGAAAGATTCTTCTTAGATATCAATTATCATGCACCAAGAGGATGAAAAGAAGAGCTCTGACAGGTGCTATGTAGAAAAAAAAATAACAATTTGGACAATAGTTGTGAATCGAATAGTCCATGCAGAAAGAGGAATCAGAGCTACTGTATGTGCTATACTAGTATTATTACAGCATTGGCAATATTTTAAACTTTGGGAAATGAGAACAGTGCAATAATTGATTTATAAATCCTGCCTGAAAGAAATATTAAAGTACTCCTACCATGACCGTCTTCACTTGATTACAAGTGTGTGTGTGTGTGTGTGTGTGTATGTACACATCTACACACACACACACACACACACACACACACACACACTCACACACAGTAAATTATCAAATATTGCATGCATCCAAATTTTAGTCTAGTATTACCTAGTTTTCTATTGTGTGTCAAATATAGAATACTCTTGAATGTACATAGCCTGCAGTGTTTTCTTCTTTTCTTTATAAACATGGTATAAGAAACTATGGTATATGGAATCATTCTTTTCATTTACTATTGTCTAAATTTCAATCCAAATGCTTGATAAAAGGACATACCATTGCAGAGCCATTTCAACCAAACTGGGTCAATTCAAAATTAGTATCCTTACCTTGAACATCTCAACCATTCCACAATGATGCTATGTGCTTTGTTAAATGCAGGACTAAAACCATGAAATGGATTCCATAAATGAAATTGTTTGGAAGTCGACTCATCTAGTTCTGAATTTGACATCAGTAAATCTGACACATCATCACAAGCCTCAACCAATCATGAAGTATACCTAGTCGAGGTTATGGATGTTTTTAAGACTGCAAGTATTACAAAAGTTTTGACAGTTTTGAAAATTCAGACACTATGGAGGATAGTGCTAGTTACGACTAAATGATGCAGAATACTTACTTTCTCTATCCTACTGACTGCTGTGTGTACATATATTCCTTTTATGACAATATGTAGGATGAACTTCATAAAACTGCACTTTCACATGCAATAAGTTATTTATTTAGTGGCTTTACTGTAAGTGATGATATAATGTTTATTTGGTGTTACAGAAGATAAAAAATTATAACAATTTTTAACACTTATTTTTTAATATTATTGACACTAATATATTGTGTTATAGAAGTTCAAATTCTAAAATATTTATGGCAGCTTAAAATTTAATACACACAACATTGCCACTATGCACGAATTAATCAGATATTGAATTGAAGATTTATTATGTTAATATTGTCTTGTTATATCGTCATCATTAAACTTCACAAAATTTAGCTGAGATGCAAAACGAATCATAAAAATTATTGTCATTTACTATTTTGAAGTTGGTGCAATTTTTAGATAGGAAAACTAGACTTTGAAAATGATACTACAATATGGTAATACGAGTAAAAAAAAATAATTACATAGCAGACAGACATTTATATCCTGCAAGGGTGTGAACGGTAGCACAAAACTTGGATAATGTCTGTTATACTCACTAATTTCCAGTTTATATATATATCCATTATAGTAGTTCTTATTATTTGAACCTCAGGGGTCATGCTACCAGGCAAAGTGGGCGAAAAAGTCGCCTGAGAACGGTAAACTTCGCCTTTGTTAGGAAAGTGAAAATGACTTTGCCTTCGTATTTTTGGACGTAAAAGGGCTGTAGATTAAGACTTTTGAGATGCCCCTCGCAGTTGCCAATAAGTTCTGGCACTGTTATAATCCAAGGAGAAATGCATCAATATGAAAATAGTATATTGCTTTTTAAAAATGTGATTGGTGAAAATGTTTTCTAATGTATTTCTTGCTTTTATAAATGGAGATTTTAATGACAGCATTTGCATAGTTTCTTGATAAAACCAGTTTGAAACAGTAAATGAATTTGTAATGGCGGACATTGCTACAATATACCACATCATAAAACTGTCTGTATTCCTAACTAATTGGGCAATTAGCTACAGAAAAATATATAATATAATGAAAACAAAGCTTAATTGTTATTTCATTGGAGATATAGCCTAAATATTTATTTGTTAATACCAGTAGGTAGAAAAATAATTCAACCATAAATATGTAGTCATATTAATAAATTTGTTGTAACAAAGCAAGAAAGCGAATTGTTGTATTAAGAAAGAAAAAAATAACCTTTCTAAAAATAGATGCACTCCCTTAGTGCAATACATGATCTTGGATGTTTCGTTTTGGGGGGGTCCAGTGTAGTTATTTATTTAATTTAGTGCTTATATGTGTTGTCTATGAATAGTTACTGTAATGTTTTATCGAGAACAAAGAAATCAGGATGAAGAATATGTTTTGAAGCACAAGTATTCGATGCAGCTTGATGTTTAAAAAAACAAAACAATAATCATAAGGAAAATGTCATACAGATTGACAAAAATACCTCAGATTATCTCCATGACCCGATCTGACATTGGACATTTCTGTCATGCTATATATGTGAGTCTCTTATATAGTATGACAGAGAGGATCCAATTTGTTAAAAATATACTGCGAAATGGAAATAAATAAGATAATGCAGCTTTTTATATATATATATATATATATATATATATATATATATATATATATATATATATATATATATATATATATATATATAATTTCACATTTCTTGCTTTGGTCTCACTTCTCCTGATTTAGCTTCCACTTCTCCCTGTTCTGACCAAAAGGAGAAGTCACTTCTTTCTATAATTTAAGTCTAGCTTGCTCAATTCATACACATCATCAACTTTATCACCTATTCTTTCAAATGGACCAAATGTTCAGTATATCCACATAAAAGTCTAATAAATAAAAAAGTCTGTCATTTGCAATACAGCATGCATTGTTTACAATCAAAAGCAGTTCCTAATGCACTTTTCTACTTTTAGACATGCATTGTGCAGTATGGAGAAATATTGAATGATTCGGGCAATATAAAGTTAATGGAGAAAAACACGAACATTTATAAGTTAAAAATGTGATGTAATATGATGTGATTTTGATTTTTAATGTAGCTTTAACAATTTTTCAGTCATATTGCCACGATGTCTGCAGCGTGGCAGTTTATAGAGATGTCTAGCATTGGGCATCATGTCGCAGACATGTAGCATGATGTCCCACCCAGTCACATTATCCTGACACCAGGCCAACCAGTCCTAACACTAATCTCTTAATGCTGATTGCCAAGCAAGGAAGCTGTTAGTACCATTTTTGTAAGTCTTTGGTGTGACTCAACCGGGAATCGAACCCATGACCTCCTGCATTTGAGGTGGACGCTCTAACCACTATGCCACAGGAGCAGTATATAAGTTAATAATAATGAAAAAAGACAAGAAAATCAACACATCTGGATATGTGTGATTTGGAGCATGCAAACAGTTATCAGTGTTCTAAATGGAAGGGATAACTTAACTATATTTATTTATGAAAAGATCTTAAGACTTTTATTCATCTTGCAAAATCCATAAAGTAAAACACAAGAGAGACTAAATTATTTATTTTTTTTATGGACATATTTGAGTACAAAATTACCTGTATAAAATAAATCATTAAATGATTATACAAAATATTATCATCTGAACAAAACTAAGCATAAAATGATTCACACCTGTATTACAGTCATACAAGTGTCTTGACTCTTCAAATTCAATTTTTTGGTTGCAGGCTTTAAATCATTGTTTTCTCAAGGATTTTCAGAGGAGGAATTCCCTGGTGAATCCAGAAGGAGAGCCTTCAGATGTTTAGTTTGAGCTTTGTTAATGTTGATGAATGTTACAGACACTGGTATGCCATTTTGTCTGCTTGCTAATTTTTTTAAGGGGCATACATGTATACAAACTAATTGATTGGAGAGTTGGGGATTGTCAGGTGTAATTTGCACCATTATCCATCATGATAAAACACTGAAAAAATGTCACAATATTTACGGTAATATCAAAATAAAATATTAAATGGGTTCAGTGTTTGTAGGTACCACACTTAATATCAAGTAAATCAAGCTATGATTGACTGCCAAAGGAATAATGCAATTTTTTCCTAAATCTAGGCAACCTGCCCAGAATGGGTAACAAGACCGATTAAAAAAACAAATAACTATTTTGTATCCAATCATATTGCATGCTTTAGCAGATACATACCCTTGTCAGTAACAAGTCGAGTCAATTGACAATAAATGGCATATCCAATCCTCCAATTGCTTAACCTGAATGGTCATAAATACTAAAAAAATTTCTCTCACAAATTATCCTTCTTTTTATTCTCCAACTGTCATTTTTCACTTATTTACAGTAAGGTTGACTTGTGTGTGTTGTCTACATTCTGCCTGTCGCATTGAATACCCTATTCTGTGCATAAGTGAATCATCTTGGCATTAAAGCAATATTCTCCCTAAATCTATTCACACAGAAAACTCCTTTCCCAAACATATTTCTCTTAAGTTATATTATCTGGAAATTTGCAAAAATGATTTAGAATGTGGAATTTAAAAAAAAAAACAACTTTATTTCCGAAAAAATTCAGAATGGCTGGATCTCATGTGGATATATATTCAACCAAAAGTGGCACATGAAACCACACAACCTTTAGATTTGTACATGCTTTTGGATTGTTGGATTCTTATCCTATGTACAAATAACAAAATTAAGGAAATGTTAAATACTCCCCTATGTCACTGGAAATCATCTCTAAAAGAGAACAAATAAATACAGAAAAAAATTTCTCTCCCCATCCTCAAAATGATAAAATTTTATTGTATAAGATATGGATTGAGATTAGGTTATCAAAATAATCTGGAAACATTTCAATTTAATTCCAGATATATATATATATATATATATATATATATATATATATATATATATATATATATATATATATATATATATATATATATATATACCATAAAAAGGAAAAAGAAAAATGTACAGTTCATGTTCACATTATTTTAAGACCCTGCTATTTATAAAGAGTTTACTTAAATTCATTTATCACAAAGTGTTTGGTGTACCTATTATACAGATGTCATAATACACACAAAATTATGAAAACTATTTACAATATATTTCTTATGATATGTCAATTAATTTACAACATACAATCTATTAATGACAGAATGAGGAAAAATGTTAAACAGATCAGATATAAATTCTGATGATACATTTCAGTACACAAGAAGAGCTAGTTGAAACTGGATACAAGATGTAAGAGCTTGAATTCAAATTTTCATATAGTTTAAAATGGAAAATAGGTCACACGTGTATGAGCTTCTGTTGAAGTGTTCATATAATTCAAAATGAAAGTATCTATTATTAAGCAAACATTTTGAAGCAAATAGCATAATTTCCATCAGAAAAAATTGTCATGAATATATTTAAGAAGTTGCATATTTACAGGCAGCCACTCTTGAATTTTTGAAAACAGGTTTAGTCTTCTGGCACTGGAAGTTAGGACTGAAGCAGGCCTATTGTTTGCATTCAAGACTCTTTTTTACACTCAATTTACATTAACTTTTAATGGAAACGAGTAGGTCACTATTAGGGTTTAAAACCCTGGGCACTGTATTAAATGCTGAGGACATTTTTCTCTATACTAGACCAGAAGAGTAAGTTTTATCAAATACACCTGTAATAAATCACTGTCAACCATAAACATAACCCACTTGGCAGTACCATATGTAACTGCTTGTAAGTTAAACTGCAAACGACATACAACCTGATCTGCCATCCCATAATGACAAATCAGGTTCTATATTATTTGTTATATTCAATACTTGTAACAAACTGCAATGATACAGATGTGCTGGCACATTCTGCAACAGCAGAACTGGGTCCGTGCAGTCTACAGTTGGACTCAACTTACAAGTGAATATATGCAGTATTTTAGTTTTTAAGTATAAAAGTGTTTCACAGTAACATATTTAAGTCATAAATGTATCCAACATTAATTTTAGTTAAATAAAATTATGCTCAATTACAATGCCAGTGATAATGGCACATGTGACTGACCTATCTGAAACTTGTTGCTCCTAGTTGATGTGCCATGGGAAATAACTATATACAGCTAATGAATGTAACTCTAAAGAAGCTTCAATCCTGTGAATGAAGTGATATCCCCAGTTTAAAGTGGATTTACTTTCAATACATCATTGAATGCCTTCATTTTATGAAACTGCCATCTCTTTCTACCCTACTCATACATAATTCCAACTCTAAAGATGGCTTTCACAAGAGAGATAACTCTTAATGACAATGATCACTCAATATTACCAGGGATGTAACTCGGATAAGGGAACCAGGAAGCATTCTGAAGAATTGTACAAACAGACTGAACAAAAATCTCTTTTTTTTGATAAAGTACAAAATATGGAATGTGTCAAAATTTACACAAATGACTCTCCAACTTTGCTCCCAGTTCCCCCAACACTTTCTGTTCCTGTTCCCTGGTAAGGTGTCATGGGCAATTCCTTTTCAATTTCCGAACTTGGTTCTTCGAAAAGTTTGTCTTTCAAAATCATGGATTTGATGAATAGACAGATACCTGCAAAGGCCATGAAGAAACCAGATAATACATTAAAGCCATATGACCATGAGAGATAGTTCATCCAGGGTCGAGGGAAGTAGTTTTCTTGACGGGCCATCTCAGCAAAGACAAGTGACACGATGAAGACAAACAGAGCTGGAAAGAGCAAAATAAAAAAGAACATTATTCTTTCAGTATTGTTATGTAAAGTACAGAGATGAGGCCTAAAAAATATTTTAAAAATCTCTGGATTGAGATATCTGAGATACACTACATCTCAGTGATACCCATCTCTCATCATATTACACTTGCACAAACTTTTCTGTGATAAAGAATGGGTAAAATGTTAACAACACCCCTGCTACTAGAAAAGAGACAGCCATGTCTTGCCATTCACCAACACAGGTGAGACAAAATTCATAACCTCCATTTGCCAACACAAGTGAGATAAATTTTAGAACCTTTATCATAGAAACTATATTAAATTCAATCATTATTATCACATCATGACAATGTGCTTCTTTCGGTCAAGACCAATTGTATCCTCAAATCATTAGAGAGCTCTCACAAGAGAGATTCACAGATTCCAAACCTCCGATTCCTGGCCTTTGACCTTGTGCATTTTAAATCTATTCACTGCTGTCAACGTACTAAACTCTTTGTTTTCCAGAAAACATGTCTTGGGCTCCCATTTTCAACATTCTAGACAGCTCTGCTATTTTTATTTAAGTGCAGCTTTTATGTCCTCATATCTTAATACAAATGTTTGAGTCCTAGGTGACATATACAATTTAACAATGCTTTTATGACTTGCCAATCCCAATGCCTTTGACACATTGCATAATTAGTCTTGCCTGTAGAGGTCTTGGAGCATAATGACACAGTATTTTTAGGTAGGCATTTAACTGCATCATCTGGATAGTTAAGCTTGACAAGAATGGTTATTACAGCAAATCTGATTGGTACAATGGCCCTGGAACATGCATTATGTCAGTGTTTCAACCTTAACAAAAACATTGCTGTACATCCTCTTAATCCACTTATCCATACAAATGGTGACCCAAGGGTTGTAACATGACATCTGCTACACATAAATTGTCTTAACATTTTTGATGCGTGCACATAACAAAATTCATCCAAAATGTGTTTTACATCTATTCAATTAAAATAATTACATACTGTATACTCTTGCTTAAAAGTTGAGTCAAACATCAAACTACACATACCAAGATCTCTCATGGCAGGAGTAATTGGTAAAGCAAAGAAAGACCCTGATCTGCCAGCATAATATGATGTCAGGTTAGGGTATATCCAGCTAGATCTGGCTTATATAAATATATATTTATATGGTGTGAATGCTCTTTTTATGTTTTTGGCCTTTTACTGTAGGTGTCTCAAATGGTACCAAAGCTCATGGAGGAAGTGGCTGCAAATGCCTGTACAAAATAATAAAAAAAATTATCCTTTTTTTTAAACTTACCACCATACATGCATGGTCTTTTATTACCGAGTTACCATCATACATCTCTGTGTTGCGTTAGCACCTAACTTAGCACATTGCAGGTCCACACAACCCAATTCTAACTAAACAGTCTCTGTAAGGCAGTTGATTTTTTTCCCCATACATATGACCAGTTTTTAATAAGATGTAACAAAATATGTACTACTATTGTAAAGTTGGAAAATGTATTAAAAAAGTTTGAATATCCATAATTGATATAATAAAGGTAAACATTATGTTTGACTGAAAGGTTTGTTAAGAACAGAAAAACCTATTAACCTC